ACGATATTATTTTGTATTTTACGACTTCCACATGTTTCGAAAAATACCGATTAACAAATACCTGAGCCTGTTTTATTTTTGTGAGACCGAACAAATTTTAGGATTATTATTATTTTGTATTAATTTTATTAATTGCTTCGAATTACTGAATATTATATACATTTTAGAATTCTTTTTTTAAATAGTTAAAATAATATAGTTAACCCCGAAGCACTATGGTATAAACTTATATACTAATAATTTTATGTTCAACGATGACTTATACAATAATAAAATATTTTTTTTTTTGGTCGGAGAAACATTATGTATAGGTCCCACACGTGGGGATACGAGAGTAGCCGACAATGACGGAGTTAATGAAAATTGCTCTAAGCCATTCCACGGCTACCGCTGGATAGCCCAAGACGACAATGACGCCCCCTCCCTTCTGCAAGCTAACTATGTGATTGAGCCCTCGCAAAACTTAGTTCAGTTTATACTTAATATATATATGTAATATGTGTAGTTCACGCACCAAATGAGCTGTATATCAGTATTTGAGACGCACTCGCATGGCAACGATCATGATGACGTCAGATCCCCAGACTCGTCACGTTGACCTAACGTTGTTTTGTTTAATTTTCAAATTTTCAGTACTTTTTTTAGTATTTTTAATATACAATCCAATATTGACATGACAATAAAACTATATTTTTAAGTTATGTATTTATTTTATATTATAAAGTTTAATCTAATTTTAATATAATATGAGTAACATAATATTATGCACACAAACAATAAATAAACTTAAAGGGTACTAAGGAATAAGGATAATCTGAGATTTAAGATTTAAAGTAAGTATCGTACAAATGTATAACTTTAAAACTAATTTAAAATACTTATACCAACTGATTCATAATTTATAAATCCACGTACATTTTTGTTTTGTTAGAATGATATCTTAATTTCACTAGATACTTAAATTTATATTATATTTATATAGAAGTATGTGGATAATTTTAATAAGCGTTTCCTACTTGTTTCAAATATTAAAAATAAATTCCAGATGATATTGTTACATTTATATTTTTATTATTCTTAGTACCTATCATTATTATCTAAAACCAGCGTTTCGTTTGTCATGCTATTGTATGAACAAGAATGCACTGAAAATCTGATAAAAGATATTCTCAACAGGAAACCATTCAACCAAACTAACAAGATACGGTATATTGGGACAGGAGCATTTCGAACTGAATTGCGGTATCCTATAGTTATTTGAAATCCACCATTTTTAATCTTGCTGGAATACTCTACCCTACTGTTGTTGTACTGATTTTTCTCCGAGTTTCCAGACGTCGTTTCCAATATTGTATCTCTGAGAGAATAATACACTTTGGCGTTCTATGCAATAAAATATGTGAAAAGTTAAATATATAAACGACGCTAATGGGGTAGAGGTATGAAATAGAAAGTTTTTACACAATTACACGCGAAACAACGCGTATAATAATTTTGAAATTATGAATATGAAACTTTTTAGTAAATCATTTAAATTGTATGGAACAAACTTTTTGGCTAATATATATATAGGTACACATAACACATATATTGAGTTTTATTCAGTTTTACAGGAAGCACATTATAACGGAAACAATACAACTGTTATCATTTTCTGTCAGCCTATATTTCTGATAATGTTTCATATTTTTTATGTATTAGTCATGTGAAATACTGTACTAATATTTTGAAAACATCAATGGTACTTATAGTTGATAATAATACACTCAATATTTAAAAAACGCTAAGTCTCTACAAATACAATTTTTAAAACACAACAAAATAATGGTTAATTTTTGTTAAAATATTCAATTTTGTCAAAATTATACTTGAAATGGCTATAAAAAAAAATGTCTATAATTTTGAAATAGTTTTAGGCTGCTTTAAGAAAAATGTATAAGAAATCTTTCAGGATTTCAAACTTTATGATTGAAAAAAAACTTAAAAAAGTTCAAAATATTCAATGAAAACATAAATTATACCCGTAGTTTCATTAATAAATTATTCCTAAAAAATATTTCTTTGTTATACCTATTGATCATTTTATTTTTTTATTTGATGTTCTAAAATATTATATTGTTTTAAATATTTAAATAAACGAGTTAATGATTTAACGAACTGAACTTTGGCTCTGTAAACTAGAGTTTATATATTATCAGATTTTATTCTCTGAAGGATTGTACTACACAGAGCATTATAATTATCATAAAATTATTAATATGTTCATAATAAATGGCAATGATAAATATGAAAATTGGAGGGCGTACATAATACATTTTAAAAAACCAAAGTCTGGTCGGATTATAAATCAAATAAACAAATTTGAAGAGCTCACCGTTCTCGATAAATAGTTATATAGCCATTTTTCCTGCTCAACTTTATATTTCTTTTTTTAAATATTAATTTCGTTCTTATTAATCTTCCGCCTCCTTCTTTGAATAGTGTCCCTTGAGAGAATAAACTTGCGGCAATGTTGACGTAATTAATATAAAACTCGCAGTTAATATTTATTTAATTACGGGACCAACTCAACAGTTCATTATTTCTATTTTTTTCATTACCTCATCCATTTCGATCACCCTGTTAGTCTCGAACAAAGATCATACACTCCTACTAATTCATTTTAACGACTTCATTTATTTGAAAAATAATAGTAAGTAATATAAAGTATTGTGATTAAGTGTTTTTGAATATTTTTCAAGGAGATTATTAACTGTTTTTGGCAGGCACTCGATAATGTAATGTTTAAAGTTATGTAAATTGAATCACTTTTTTATACAGATCATTATTTTATTATAATAGTCTGCAAAATAATTATCAACTAATAAACATAATGTATAAGAAATAATTTACGTACGTTTTAATCTTTAATCTTGAGGTATGATTGATCTTAAAATAACCACCAGCGCTAGGTTTTGTGGAACCCTAATATTTTATTGTATAAAAACTAAAAAAGGCCTTAATGTTTTAATTCTTAAAAATGTATTTTTATTGTATTGTGTAAATATTATGATAGTACGAAAAAAAAAACATAATGACATATTAACTTTGTATATTTATGGTTTTTAAATCAATTAACGAGCCATCCTATTAAACTATAAAGTATATTATTCAAAATGTGTATCAAAAGTACTATAAGGATATTAATAAATAACCATTTGCTTATCTATTCTTTCAACGAAACTCAATGCGACGACTAAAAGCAATTAAAAATGTATTATTATCAGGTAGTTCATGAACTACTTTTGATTTTGTGTAATAAACATGAACCGTCATAAAATTGTTTCAAGTTTTTCTAAGCAATAATAATATATTCACTAAATATATTTGGCGTTTCCATTTGAAGTTTAACTTTTACGACAGAGAAATATTCTCAAAAATATGTGGAAAGTTATACAATTCATTAGAGTTTAAATTGAAAAACGTAAATCCCTGAGAAACCCAGAAAAAACTTTCAACTTCGACACATTTTTTTCTTTTACAGCCCATCAATTTACGCCACACTCAATTTAAACTCGAGCACATTGTAAACTCTAAACCTTTACACGTTACTAATAACATTCAAATGGGCGAATTTTTTTATTTCAAAAATGGAATTTTCAATTCTTTTTTTATTAAACGAATTAAAAAACTTTTCCCTCAAAAAAAAATATAATAAAACCTATTTTTATATATTCAGACGCAGGATGAAAACTTTTCCGCATTAAGAACAAGACGAACATTATTCAATTGGAATAATATGCCTAACAATAAATATTTGAATCCAATTAATTTATGATGAGTTCCAAAAGTAGTACCTATACAAGTGATTATTGTAAAATAAATACACAAAATTAGTACGAACTGAGTTATCTTCTATAAGATATAAAAAAACGTACACGAAAATTAAATGGTGTAATACCTAGATAAACAATAAGTGCAATTATAAAAGTATGAATAGTTCGTTGACTTCTATAGTTATATCAATATAAAACTACATCTTTATTATAATCAAACTTCAAAATTTTAACACTGCCAACTTTTGTTCCAAAAATGATATTTGATTTAATTGACAAAACGTGTAGGCGTGCTATGTAGAACAATCGGATTTAATCCATCCGTGTAATGAATCCATGTATTATTTTTATTATTTTTTTATAACACAATTTAAAACATTTTTTATTATAATTTAAAATTGAACTACCTATTTATACAGAAAAATTAAATTTATTCAAAGTGTAGACTATCATAACACGTAATATTATTGTTGTAATACGATTAAAATATTAAAAACAAAAAAAAAATGTTTAGTGTTCCCGAAAAGTGTTATTATTATATATTTATAATCACGAACGATATCCCGAGGTATTATGATTTATACTTGAATCCGATTAACATATTATAGGTGCTTAATATACATACATATTACATTATATTATTAAATGTAGTATGTAGGTATCTGTTATAAATATATCTACATACTACATGTACATTGCATGTATATATATATATATATGTGGTTCGGGAATAATGCGTTTAATTTAAATACTCGGGGATTTTCATGAATCTGCATAAAAAAATGTTTTGAGTACAAACCGTATATAATGATAAATACAAACGTAGACATTTTGATTTAGTTTAATAGGTATAAACAAAGTATATGCACAATACTTCAATATTTAATCTCAACACGAATATCATACGTACCTATCACTTCATCACTTATTTTGATATTGGTACCTAATCAGATCAACGTGATAGTTGGTAAGCTCTATTGCTTCTATATCTACAGCTATGTTCTAATATTGAACCTATATGAATATTTTAGTTAATTATACAATAAATTATCCATGTAGACATTACTATATATGTTTATTATTTCGGTAAATAATAAAAAGGCACTTGTTTTTTGTGTTTCCAATTAAAGCTATTTAAAATATAAACAAAAAATTGCTAGCAATAATAAAATAATTAAATTTTACCTTGATCGGCGAGTCGTTGGATCTTTCATAACCATCACTTCAGTTATTTCTCCAAACTTACTGAAGTACTCTCTCAATGATTCTGAAACAAATAATTAAATAACAACATTAGTATAGAAATTGCAGTATTATAGTATTTAACTGTGACTTCCTAAACAATATACGTGCTACAATAAATATTCTACTTATGAAATATATGTGATTAAGAATAGGTAGAATCTAGTAAAGTTTAGTTAAATTTATTTCTCGCTATCATTTTTGAAAAGTTTTAAAAGATCACACGTTCTTTACTACCTTATTTCTCACATCTACTTGGAAATAATATCACCCATAATACTCATCCAAAAGAGAAAATCAAGACCCAATTCTTCCTCAATATTTAGTCAAAACCACTAGATAAAAATAAACTTTTAAACGATTTCTACTATATTGAGATGCGTGGGGAAAATATTCATATCAAGTCCCGGGTATATAAACAAAAATATACCAATTGAGTCCTATAATTATTTTGAGTAAAATTAGAAGTGCACAAAGTTAACCACATGCAATTTTACCAATATAAGAAATTTAATTGAATCATATAACCTAATACACTATTCCCATTAATTATTATATTATATTTGAAGCAACTGAATTATAAATAATGATTACAAACATTTATACAATTTCACAAAATTAACATTAAAAAAACATTATACTTGAATTTGTTTAGTCATCTGCTGAGTCTGGAGAAATGGGAAGAAAGGTGTTTTTTTTTATTTCGTAGGATTTAGTAAATTAGTATTTGAATCTAAACTTAATTAGTATTATATTATCTTATATTTCATGGTACTCAAAAAGTATACTCCTTACAACAACATGGTGCCCAATCGTTCTAATTTTTCTTGTTTATATACTGTCTTTTTAAAAATGATTATTGTCTAATTATCAACGTACAAAAATCACGCCTCACACACACTATTTATCTTTATAAAAATATTCTTCCCTTCGCGTACACCGGCTAAATGTGTAAATTTAGTACCTATCCTCTGCGTTCCTCGAAAATTCCCATTTCAATCAAAGGTCATCAGTCTGAAATATTTCATATTATTATTTAATTGAAATACACAATATAGTGTACGCTCAAGAAGTAAGCACGCACAATATGTGTCTGGCGTCAGTGGTGGTGGGTGAGCAGTTGGGTAGTAACACGTTCTCCCTGATAAATCCGTCAGTGAAAATATGAGTGCAAGAGGGTGGAATCTCTAGAGAAATGGCGGCATTTCTCTCACATGGAAAACGTATATAAATACTTTACATCCCCAATAGATTCGTATAGTTGCACGCGAATATATCTCCGCGAAACCCTTACCCTCCATCATCACCGCTCGCCCTCAGTTAATTCATATACGTATCTCCAAGCGTACGTCAACCTGTCCGCGTCGGAGCTTTCGTTGACGAGACGTACACGACACCTGCACGACCCACGCAACGGTTTCCAAACTTTGACAGAATTCCTATCCACTCAAAAACTAAACGTGAATTTTATAATACAACGATTATAACGATTAGGTATAATAAAGTTAATATTCCGAGAAAAAACTCCTTCACAGTTGCGCGGTGGTGACGTGACAGATCTAAGTGTCAAACACTTTGCCTTTTTTTCCACGATAAACTTGAATAACTTTGGAGAAAATATTAATCTCCTCACCATATATTAATTAATCCACTGCGACAACAGCGCTCGGTGAATACCACCTCACAATATAATACTATTATCGATGTTTACGCAAAAACGACAGTTTGCCGGTGCACGTGTTATAATCGAGTGATATTATTGCAGATACCTATGCTTTTGTTTTCCGAAAGCGTCATCAGTTGCGTTAATTACAGTTAGACCACCATAGTTTCAAGCGCAGGACGGATGGTGGGTGCAAAAACACACATTCGACGCTTTTCCCTTCCCAGATTATAAAATTTGACAAACATGTTAGTTAAAAAACTAACACACACATATAATGGACATAGGTACCGCCGGCTATAAGTTCTAATGCGTTTCCGAAATTAAAATCGATACCATATGGTCACCCTGGAGCAATACAAACTATTTGCAATGTTTGCAGTGGTATTTTTTCTCGGAAAAACAAGAATTGCACCGTTCACAATATTCCAGAAAAACAAACCGTTTTTTAAAGCGTTGTATTTGACAATGTTTAACATATAGTGGTAACCCTCGTGGTAATCACCATTAGTTATTTTATGGGTATTTCTAACGAATTAAAATGTATTCTGGATATTCGATGGTTTTTAACTTCATATTATTTACTTATGGCGTATTAATGCAAACAATAATAATATATTGTACGCCAAAATGAACGAATTCAGTAATAGGTAGGTACTTTATCCATATTAATTATTATTGCCGTCCAAACTTCAGAGGATTATGACGCATTGACGCATATTGAAATATGTACTTGAACGTCGGGTTTTAACTCACTTTTAATTTTATATTACTATATTATAGTTGGTTTGAATGAAGAGTGATGATAGATATATTTTTAGGGATTTTATTTTTCATATCATCGTTGTAAAAAATAATACTCAACAATTTTCCAGCACACGGGATGTCGCTCAAAGCATTGCTCACACAGTCGAATAATAATATTATATGAAGGAAAGTTTCGAAAAACAAAAGATTTCAAAAGTGACGCGCGGCGCCCCCGAGGATTTCCGATTAATGATATATCATACATATTATTTGAAACGCACATTTTTATCAACAAAACAATAGTGTTTTAAGCATAATAATATGCACATCAACCACTCGCTGATCGTGGCGAGATGGTTATTATTTCAATACGGGAACTGTATCGCGTAGGTTTCCAGACGGTCGGATTTACGTTTATCCATTATCACATAATACATTATAATATGGTATATTATTGGTATATAATTATTAATATTGCTATACAATAGTTTTAATATTATGTCTCTATTATTATTTCATGCGACCGTACACAAATATTACACTGCAAGTAAATAATTAATCGACGGACGCTAGACAGATAAATCGTATTTATTTTACACTATCATTTTTTTTTTCCACGAAAATCGATTATCGCATATACATATACGAACAAATTGCGTTTCGTTATACCCGACGACCGCCATTCGAATGCACTATAATTGCGGCGGCGATGCGCAGTGGGAAATCGAAATTATTGTTTAAATTTATTTTATGATTCCCGGAGAGTATTATACAGAATACAGATACACTACATAGTCTATTATATACATATATTATAATATGTAAGTACACACAATGGTATTATGTATATATATCAATGATTTCGTCTCGTTGTCGACTCCCGTTACGCCGACAATGAAGTCCAAGAAGAAGGACAATATCTATTATATTGTATTCGCTAAGATAGTTATTCAGCAAACTTGTAGCTGGCTAGGTAGGTACCTCTACTCGAATAATGATTGAATGAATTGAGTGGAAACTAAATTATTATCAGAATTAATTCTATAAGACGTGTAATTTTTCTAGATACTGAACGAACTGTGTGAATGTATTAGCACTTTAGTTGATGATTAGTTTTTTTTGTTTTGTTTAAATCTCTGTGATAATTTTATATAGAGGGTATTATAACGGTAAAGCAATAACAATAAAGTTCCAACTAAGTATACTCAACACAATTATATTTTCGTCGCATCGACCTTGGTTTTTCGTCACGATCGATAAACCTAAACAGAAACTGTCAATAGAATTTGCAATAATTTTACATCATTAAACTGAAACTGTTGACTGAATTTGAAATTGCATTACACAGATAGGATTAAATTTAAAAAAAAAAAGTTATTAAGTTCTCGGCCCTCAGGGCGTATTCCATGGGTGCATATTGTTGTGAGTATTTTGAATAATTATTGAAACATCTACATTTTTATCCACATAGTTCATGAAATATAATATCGAATGTTCTGTCTATATACTGAGTTCCAACCATTTGTTTCAACGAGAAAAATAAATGTTATTTTGAAATATTTTAAAGCGCGATGCAATTATTTCGATCAACGGCCGCAGCTATAGTGTTTCCGTTATTATAATAACAATATTATATAACCGCCGGTGTGCTATGTATTTAGCCGAACGAATAATTGTCACAAAACAATAAACGAACAGTGTACGGCATAATAATAATAATAATAATAATAATAATAATATAATTATTTAAACGAACCGTAATCGTTATTGGAAAATCGATTTCGGCGAAAAACTCAACCGAGAAATTCCAGGAATAATGTCTGGATTGGCCGGGGAGGTGGTTAAAATTGACTTTTCGGAATCCAAACGACGCCTCCACAAATGGACTTTCAGGTATCGGTCGATAAATAATATAATATTGTGCACGTGCACAATCCGGCCACAACTAAATTATACTATTATTATTATTATTATTACCGCGATCGTTCGAGGTGTTCTGAGAAGCAAAGCACACTGTGACCGGTCGTCGGGTGAATAACATTATTATGATATTACTCGACGGACGTTATAATATATAATATTGTATAGTGTATTATAGATTTTCAAGAAAAACGGACTCAAAGCACAACAATATCAGAATTTAAACAAATTAAACTATAGCGAGTGGTAATCTTCGCAGCTTGAAGCATCTTTACATGGTCTCATCACTCATTAGTGTAAGCGTTACATATTATTTTTTCACATCACTTTATTATACTATTGTTTTCGGTAATCATAAATTTGAAGACGTATTGAACACAATATGTATGGGACCAATGACCACAAATAAAAACGACTTTGCAAAAGTTAATTATTGTTAAATATCTTTTTATTACAACATATGTTTATAGATTGTATTGCTCAAAAATATTATATTATGTGTAGTTTAATAGTGGTACATTATAAAAGATTATTATAATTATTGAGATGGTCAAAAAAAATCTTTCACTCATGAAAAAAGCAAAATTATTTTCATTTACTTTTAATCAGAATAATTAAAAACGAGACGTGTTGCTTACTACATATTTTATAAAATAATTCTATGCATATTTTGCTTCAAAATCTGAGAACTGTAA